CTGGCAAGACTCAAAGATACCCCTTATAATATTTTTCTGCCTCCCATCATGCTTTGAAATGAGCAAATAATACTACTTTCTGCTGCATTTTTGTATCTTTTATTCAGGAGCTTCCTGAGGTAAATAACCTCAGGCAGGCAAATCCAAGGGGATGCTCCTATCTCTCTTGCTGTCTGCTCACTCTGAAATCATGATATACTTTGCTTTCATGATGCTGTTTATAAAACATTCATTTTTTTTTCCAGGAGAAATGGCTATCAAGGAGGGCAAGAAACTTCACACGTTTGGCTCAGGCTTCAGTCCCAGCATTTTGTCATCCTTCTCTCCCTGTCAGTGCCCCAGAGGTGACAGGAGGGCACCTCCAGAGCCCACAGCACCTCCCCATCACCCAGGGGACCCCTGTGGCCATCACCCCAGCCAGAGCAGAGGGTGGCTTCTCACCAGGGCCCTTTTGGCAGGCAGACATCCTGTAATTCCCACCAGGGCTGAATAGCACAGCTCAGGCAGGTTCTTCCTGAGGCTGAGGGGTGAATCCTGTTACCACTCACCCTCACCGGGGCACTGAGAGCTGGGGAAGCAGCAGAGCAGAGTGGGGCTGGGTGCTCAGCACCCAGCAAAATCCAGGCTGCTGGAGGGGGCAAGAGGTGTGGAACTGAAAGTTGCTGATTCCATGCAGGACAGAAAGATGTGGGCCATGATCTCAGGAGGAGTTGAGAGGGGGAAGCCTGTGGGTTTTCTTATTAACAGCTCATTTTAATATTTACAGTATGAGAGAAGAGATGGCAGGAAGAAATACCTGGGCAGGGGAGGCTTTTCTACTAAGCAGAATTGCAAAGAGGGGCTTTGGGGCCAAATACTGCTCCTTTTTTTGCTACTCTCAGCACACTTATTTCCCCTAAAGAAAGCAAAATTTAAGTGACCACAAATAGAACCAGTGAAAAGGGCATGGAAGGCTCTGGCTTCAGACAGGCTGGCCTGGGGGAGAGCTTGAGAGGAGGATTTCAAAATCCCAGGCTGAGGGAAATGGAGTTGAGGAACAGAAAGTGCCTTTTCACGGGCTCTGATCTAGACTCTGCCTGTCTGCTATTGCTCCTGTCCTGTAAATCACAGTGTGCAGGGTGGGAACCCCATTTTACCGACAGGAAAGCAAAGCAGGGCAGAGATAACAGGCAGCATTCATCATCCGAGGGGGCTTGGCAGCAGCCAGGGCCAGGCAGGGGTGGTAGAGAGCCCTTCCCAGCAGACTGCTCTGCTTGGAAAAGAAAACAGAGGGATTGCAGCGCGGGAGCAGGGGGATTGCACAGGCTCCCACCACATCCATGTGAGCCACGGAGAGCAGAGGGAATTCCAGAGGGGCAGCTGAACCACCCAGAGCATCCCACAGCGGGCAAGTTTGGGGTTGGTTTGGGTCGCTGAGGAGTAGAAGTGCTGATCCAGGGGCCCGTGGTGGAGGGGTGGGTGTGCTCAGCTGCACCAGCAGGCTGTAGGGAGGGGGACACGGGATGTCACTCCCCCCGAGCCCGCTCCCTGTCCTCTGGTTAATGTATTCTGAGGTGGGTTTAGGGGATCTCAGGAGAATGAATTGTCAGAGCGTTGGAAGCAAGAGATGGCAGGGGAATTACTGCTAATCCTTTCTTATGGGACACAACACTCCAAAGGATTTAAAGGCTATTCAAAAATGTAGAAAAAGAAGAGACAAGGACACCCCTCCCTCTTTCTTACGTTTTAGGCTGGTCACTTGCTGCTGGCTGGGAAAGACAGAAAAGAGAAACTTCCAGGAGAGGGAAGAGATGCAAGAGAGAGAAGAAAAGATGAAGAATGAAGATTAGATCTGGAGAAAAGCCGATCTTACCCTCTCAGGGAGTGTAGGCTGCAATTAAATCTCTTTTGCCTAACAATACCCCATTGTTATTTGTGTAGTAGTACTCGAGATGCGGCGATAAGGGATGAAGGAGCTGCAGGCAGGGGAAGCTGCAGTTGTTATCCTTGAAAATTCCCTGGCTGGAGGGCCCTGGGCCCCTGTCCTGCGGGGTGACCCTTTACCTCAGCTGAGGATCTCCCCATCACCAATAATAAATGTATTTTGAACAGCTCTGGTGGAAGGATTTTGGAAGTGCGGGGTTTGGATATCCTCTCCCCGCTGTTTGATTTGCAGGCATGGTCAAGGGTTTGGTCACACAAAAGGTGTGTGAGCAAAGGTCACTCCCTCTGTATTTTGGATGGGCTGGCAGGCACCAAGGCAGGTCTGGGCTGGGCTTCTTGTGCCCTCCAGATGTGCTGAAGTTCTTCCATCCCAGTCACCTATCCTTGCTGGACCCCAAGGCTCCACCCTGTCCCCTTCAAAGCATGGCTGGTACCCATGCAATGCTCATTTCCATCCCTTTGATTATCATTTTTCAAAAAAAGTAGCACTTACAGACTCACCACAAACCTTCCTTGGTTAGTGCTGGAAACCCTGGGACCAAACCACCTGCAGCATCTGGGATCCACCCAGCTAAACCATGGTCTCTCCCGCCCTGAGATCCTGCACTAATACCTTCCCTATTCATTTTCTGCCTTTTTCTTGCTTTTCAGGTGTTTCAGCAGAGCTGCCCTCAGCTGTGCAATGTTTCTCTGTGTGTTCAGGGCAGCACAGCGAGGTCCAGCCTGGTGCATCATCGACTGTGCCCTCTGGGTGACCTTGAGGCTGAGCAAGGTGAGAGCTCCTGGCTCCTCTCTGCAAATCCTGCTTTGCTGTCCTTTGTCCCAGCTCCCAGCCTGAGCTGGTGATGGCAAGGAGCAACTTATTAAGGAATTGCTTCTTTCCTCCCGTGTTCAGCTGCTCTCAGGCAGGTCCTATCGATCCACTGCACCTACTCAAGATGTTTTGCAAAAGGCACTTAGTGAAATTCATTCCAGGAGTTCCTCAGTGGTTTTTGCTGCCTGAACTGCACGTAGAGCACAGGCAGGTGAAGGTTTGACTCTGAGACAGTCACGGGAAGAGCTGTCATGGAAGAGAAATTTCCATTTTGCCAAACATACTTTTCAGCATGCTACAAAAAAAATACCAAAAGAAAAACCTCAAAAAACCCAAAAAAACAAAACAAAACAGCAACAACAGCAACAACAAAACCCAAAAGAAAAAACGAAAAACCAAAAACCAAACCAACAAACAAAAAAAAAACCAACAAAACAAAACCACACAAAAAAAAAAATCCCCCAAAATGAAGTGCAGGGTTTTTATTTTGGGTGTGTGGAAAACATTTTTATGTTCTGGTATTGTTTTGGGAGGCTAGTCAGATTGTGTAAATAGAAACAAATTTTGAAATGAAAAGGTATTCTTTAAGACAACAGCATAAGCCTAAGCAGACATTTTTTTTTAAAATGACATTGTGGAGCAATTTAACTTTTATTAGAAATCCCTTTTTCAACCCCTCCAAACCATTTTTTAAAATCACTGTCTCCATAAAAAATATCTGTTCCAAAATTACATGCTACAGTGAACCAGAAACTCTGCTGTGACAATTCCTATTCCATAGATTCACCATGCTACCTCATTAAATTGCAGAAACCACATAAAAAATAGCATTTCCCAAAGGACAAACGCTCTCCCTGAGAAGTTTCAACCTGTTCCTGTCAAGCACCAGTCGGCCCAGGGAAAGCAGCTGCTTTTCCTCTTCTGCTGGGTTTTTCAGTGACACTGGAAATCTGTGCTCCTGCTCAGGGGGGCCAGGGGAGCATTCCTGCAGTGCTACTCCTGCAGCCAGCCAGACCCGGGTGGGAAGGGCTGCACATGGCTCTGGCTCCCAGCTTTTCCAGCTGCTGCAGTGTGGGGAGCACTATGGGGACTTTTGAAGGAGTTTTGAATGAGTTAGAGACGGGGCCTCTGAGTTGTTTTTGATGATGTGGTTTGTTCTTATCTTTTTCATAGGCAGGAAGGGTGAGCTCAACTCACATCTTCACTGCATGGTTCAGAAGGTCACAAGACCCCTAGTTACAAGACCTTTTAAGGATTTATTGACCAATAAAACACTGCCAACAAGGATATTTCTGGTTTTGACCCAATCTTTAAATATTTCATCTTATGGAGTCATGCTACAGTGTAAGATTTCTTAGCCAATCATGTTGTGACACACAAACGTACAGTACTGCATTCTAAACTCCTTGTTTACCTTTGTAACTACTTTTATTTTTCCTGCATCTTAAACTCTAAAACTCTAAACTTTACTTAGCTTAACATGTCTCTGCTATAAACTATAAATCCACATTCTTGCTTCTAGCACCTAAGTTTGGAAGCCCTTTCCAAGGTCTCAGATCAAATCCTGGGTTTAATTCTGAGCTTTGGCTTACAGGCCCAAAGTTCTGAGAATTCCCTGCATTTTGGATTCCAACAGAGCATCAAGGCAATCACACTAATGAGGGCATGCTCTGCTCAGAGCCCTCGCTGCAAAGCACAGTGGTGACAGTGCCAGCACAGCAGGATGTTCTGCCCCTGGGACACCACGCTCCACAAGGCAAGGAAGTCCTGGAAGTCCAAGAGCTGCAGCTATCCTGGCATTTTGCATGGGTTAAATGAAGCTCAGAGTGAAATCAGGGCACATCCCCACTGCAAATGGAGTAGCTTGGATGCAACAGTCCTTTGGAGCTGTGTCTCCATCTGTTTTTATGGCCTGGGCAAAAGAGATGCTTTAATAACTGGAATATTTTCAGATATTTACATGAGAGATGAATGCAGACCTGCATGGGTATTTGCTTGGCTGCTCATTTTTTCACCCAGTGAGTAAATCCTATCAAAGCCACTTGCTGCAGAGTGGGCAGTTCCAAACAGTGCATGCCAGCAGCTTTGGAAACATGAGAATGTTCAGTTTTCCTTTGGACATTTGCTTCCTACAATGAAGGCAAATGAGTATGTGTCTTTCTGTGGGACCCACGATATTCCCCCACTTACAGTATTGGGGAAAGCTGTTTTGAGCCTTCCAAAAAAAAGATCTACAGTTTCTCTGCTGGGTAAATGGTGAAAATACAATTCTTCACACAGTCTTGTCCATCTTGGACTCATAAACCTCAGCACTGCCGGGGCTGGTCACAGAATTACAGAGTGGGTCAGGCTGGAAGGGACCACAGAGGGGCAGCTGAAGTTATGATGGGTTTTGTGGCTTTTTCTTGGACAATAAGGAAACCAGGGACAACTCAGGTATTCATGTCTGCTGTGGAGACTCTGAATAGGAAGAGAAAAATAAGTCACCAGTTTCTTTTAAAATTGTACTGGTGGGAGCCTCGTCTCAGCGTCGCTCCAGCTCTCCTAAAATTGCTTTGATATTCAAAAAAACACTGACTTTTTAAACAATACTGTCCTAAATCCCTTTTATAAATGCCCAGAACCACTCGCAGGCTTTCTGAAACTCATTGTTATAATTACAATCAAGAATCATAGGACTCTGTGCTTTGTGCCAGAAATACACATCCACTGAATTGTTTGCAAAGGAGCCACAGAGAGAAAGAGTGAAGGAGAAATGCGGCTTCAGTGCTGCTCAATTCAGGAGCAAGAACTCCCACTCTATTTAATTTTTCCTCTTTTGTTTCCCAATTTAACTTGGAACTGCTGAAATTCAAGGTAATCTTTGCTTTGTCCACTTTGCTCTCCTTTGACCTCAGTGCAGAGAACTTCGAGGCTTGCTGTCCCCCACCACCTCCAGCAGCCTCCTGGAGGAGGAGGAGGAGGAAAGTGGGGGTGGAAGGGTGAGGAGGAAGGTCTGCAGGACCCATCAATGCCAGCAGAGGTGAGGAGAACTTCATTTTGGGAATTACTGGAATAGTATTTAGCGGATGCAGAACAAACTCTCTGGGCAAAGGAATGCAGCATCAAGCATAGTTTTATTAAATTTTTATCTTCTGGGTCACAAAAGAAGCTTAGGGAGGGCTGTGGGGGGTTTTGGTAGTGTTGTCTGACACAGCACATAGGGAGGGAGCTGTGATTCAACTTTTGCCAGCACAAGGCCTGGAGCTGGCTCTCCCTCTCTGTCCAATAATGTCTGATGTTGATCCCTGATCCTGCTTCCATGGAAATGTCCCTGTCTGGTGCTTAGAGAAGTGAGCAGATAAATAGCAGATCTGATTCACCACTCAGTTGCTTCTGTTTTACCTCTGCAGAACATCACTGCTCATAGAAGGATTTACCAGATTAACACCAGAGTAATTCAGTGATGAATCCCAACCAAAGCCTTTGGTAAAAAGAGAGCAACACTCCTGCCCCATGCCATATCCCACACACCACTGGTGTGCTCTGTGGTAGGATTCCATGGCATTCAGACGTTCCTTCCCTTGAGTCAGGACACTGCTGGGGTACACCTAGTTCAGCTAACTCAGACTTTTCCCCTCTATCTCTTCTCCCTGCAAAATGCCAGGCACGTTCTCAGTGAAACAAAAGCAAAACTCCCCCACCCAGTGCTGTTCCAAGGGGCAGATGACCCCTGGGGAAACAGGCAGATCTGAACCCCATTTCAAACCCTGGAGGCTCTTGCAGCACCTCCCAACAGTGAATTAAGGCTGGTCCCAAGAGTAAAAAGGTTTATCTAGAACTGGCTGCCTGTAAACATCAAAACACTTCATTCAGGCTCAATTCTGCTTGCTTAAAGCAGTCCCAGAGCATATCCAAAAAACACTGGATGAGGAGAAACAGTGGGAACAAAGAAATATTTCAGTTTAGAGGTGTTATACATTTCTTGTCCCACCAAGAAAACACCAAAATGCTCTCTCAAATGTTATATAATCTAGATATAAGTAAGATTTTCAGGTGTTTGTTTCAATATTTGGTCTTGATCTAAAGAAAACTGAAAGAAACATGTTGGACACATTTCCCAGCCACAGAAACCTCCCTCCCTGATGACAAAACTACTCAGGCTCCCTGAGCAGCTGCCAGCTGGGCTGTAGGATGCCCCATTGCTCCCTGGAGGGTTTGTGCCCTGAGTCATGGTGCCCACAGAGGCAGGCACAAGGCTTTCAGAATCTAAACTTTGTTTCTGTTTCACAAAGTTTCTAAAGCTGAAAATCTTGTGTCTTTACTCTGCCTTTGACATTCTGGGGTCCACTCAAAGCAACAGACTCTGAAGTCCCTCTGGGTAAATGGTCCCAGGACCCAAATCCAATTTCAGAAGCAGCCAGATGCACTGGTAAGAGCACTGGTCTGTTTCTACACCCACCAAACCTGAGGCATTGCTGGGCCACCTGTGGCTGACAGCCATGGCCAAACACAGAGCTCAGGCAGCTCTTCTGGCCCTTGTCACTCCTTAACTTGCAAATTTCCTTGACAGAAGGCGACCGGCAAGGCAGGAATTTCTGTAGGGATGTGGCAGTGCCTCCATCCACTCCCTCTGACTCTGAACAACAACAGAAGAACCAGATTCTGAGCACCATCCATCAGGCCAGGATGGCAGACAGAGCAGGAAGAACATTTCTTTCTCTTCACATGAGTTTTGCCTCCTCGTGATTCCAATTTTTGCCCTCCAGCAGCACTCCTGTCAGCTGCCTCCAGAAGATGTGTTTGCTTATTTCCTTGTCTTTCCACTCCAGGTAGGTGTTCCTCCTCAGGTACCGAGACAGCCCCAGCCTCTGCCTCAGCAGGGCCTTATCCACATCTTCCAGCACAATCATGATGATCCCAGCTTTCCCCTCCACCAGCTGCCAGGACTGGGCAATGTCAAACTCAAAGCTGCACCACTTGCTCTCCAGGAAGTCAGTGGAGATGACTGCGATGACATTCCTGCTACTGAGAAAACCCTCCTGGATGATATTGGTGACAATGGGTACCCCTGGCAGGAAGTCCCTGTAGTACAGACACAGGTGGAAGGGAGGTCTTCCTCCTTCCAAGGGTTCCACCAGCTCCTTTGTCACCCATTCCTGGTCTTTGCTGGAGTGGATGACAAAGGCATCGTAGGTGTCACCTCTTTCTGCATAGTGTTTGCAGCCACTGAGCAGCACCACGGAGTAGTAGATCTGGAAGTAGTACTTGTAAACCAGGAAGAGGAGCACTGCCACACAGAGCAACGCAACCACTGAGGAGGAAATTTTGCCTACGTTGACATAGCAGGAGGACAGATCAAAGCTTGGCAGGCTCACGTTGGCCACGTACGAGGGAGTGCGGCACAGCATCAGCTCCTTGTTCTGCAGCAGCTCCTGCTTCTCCTTGATCCATTTCAGAAAGTCCAGGTACACACAGGAGCAATCAAACAGGTTTTGAGAGATATCCAACAGGACCAGGCTGTCAGGCAGGATTTCCCTGGCTGAGTCCAACAGAACAGTCAGCTGGTTTCTGCTGAAATCCAGGATTCTGAGGGCTTGGAGTGGCTGGTAGACTCCAGGATCAAAAGTCAGAAGCTTATTGTTACTGATGTTTAGCTCTTTTAGCTCAGAGAGGGCACCAAAAGTACTTTGATCCACATGTTCTAATTTGCAGCTTGAAATATCCAAGGTGTGGAGGTGACTTAGGTTTTTGAAGTTGTTTGCCAGCTTATTGTCCACAAAGGAGTTTCCTGCCATCTTGAGCACTTGCAAAGAGTTCAAGCCACAAAACGTACACTGGGATCTAACTTCGGTTTTGGTGTGGGAAATATCAAGGTAAATCAGTCTCTGAAGGTACAGAAAGACAGGGTAGGAGCCAGGACCAAATAAGGTTGTGTGCTGAAGGTCCAAATATAACAAATTCTTCACATTAGTGAAATTTCCAGTCAATCTGATATTAGAATTGAAGCTTAAGTTCAAGTGTTTCAAATTTGGACAGTTTTGAAACTGAGGGGAACAGCAGCTGCTGAAGGTGAGTCTATTCTCACTCAAATCTATGACCTCCAGGTTACTGAGACCCTCAAACTTCTGCTTGAAGTTTTTGAGGCTTGTGTTCTTGGTAATACGAAGCACTCTCAGCTCCTTGAAAAGTGACAGCTTCAGGGCAGGCACATCCTCAAAAGCACACTTCTTGCATTCCAGCTGTTTCACTTTAGACCACATAGGAACCTGTGAGATCTCCTCAAGTCCGAGGTCCACCAAGCGAATAGTGGAGACGTTGCCTACGCAGTTAAAGAGAGTGTCTGTGTCATCCTCAAAGCCCCTGAGGCAGATTAGGACAAACTCTTCCATCTGTACATGGCACAGTCCATCCAAGAGCCCCCTCTCAAAGTCCTGCCGTCTCCCTCGGTCACTGAACCCCCCAACTATGAGTCTGCTGACCTGCAATCCAGCCAGGCCTTGCAGAGAAGTTTGCATCGTGGAGCTCTCAAAAGCAGACCTGAGAGCCAGCTCAGCAAGGTGAATCCCTGCAAAGGCCCCCGGCTCTATGGATTTTATATTGTTCAAGGAAAGCACCAGAGTGAGGTTGAGCCTGTTCCCGTCCCTCAGGACATCAAGGTCTCCTCTGGAGACAGATGTGATCTTGTTAGAGAAGAAGCTCAGGTGCCTGAGGGAGGTCATGCTGGCAAAATACTTGGGAAGCTTCAATGAAGTAATGCTGTTGTGGCCTAAATTCAGCTCCTGCAGAGTATGCAAGTGGCCAATAGGCAGCTCAGACAGAGAGGTCCTGTTGGTTTCCACCAGAACCAGCTTTTTCAGAGATGTCAAGCCATAGAAAGCTGCTTTCCCCAGGTGCTGGAGGGAATTGGCAGTTAAAACCAAGGTGGAAAGTCTGTGGAGATCCATGAAGGAGTTATCTTCTATGGTATGGATGTGGCACCTGTTTGGCATGAAAAGAAAATATAAGTGCATGAAACACTGTCCCTTCCTTGTTCTCTGAGTGCTGCTGTGACAGCCTCAGGCTCAGCCTCACCCTGGGGGCTGGTTTGGCTTTGCATCCCTGGGTGTGCAAAGGGAACTCTCCTCCAGCAGGAGACCTCCTCTCACCTCCTCCTCTCCTCCCTCTCTAATCTTAAATTTGAAGCAAGAGACCTGGAACCTGGTGAAGATCAAAAAATTCGTGCAGGCAGCAGGAAAGAAGAGTCCTAGCCATCAGTTTAGGCCAAAGTGACATCGTGATGACCATCACTGATGGAAGAACCAACCAGAGCCAGCATTCCCTCACACCTTACACCCCCAGCCCTCTGAGTGCCACCTCAGCCACATCTGGGCAGCCCCATGGCACCAGAGCAGTGCAGCGGTGGCAGAGCTCACAGCTCTGTCAGCTGTTGATATCTGGTGATGGCTCAGAGGGAGCAGACCCCAGGCTGTGCTGGCTCTGAAGGAGAAAAGGAAGAGGGAAAAATGAGTGTGACCCCCTAAGATTTGTTTGATGTGGGAAGATCCAGAATTTGAGAACCAAATCCATTCTGCAGCGAATCCCAGCAGAATTAGTTTAATAATCCAGGCAGTGCCTCACAGCACATGTGCTCTGCCACTCAGCCACTTTGGAGCTAGAGCTGTGACGGGGCTGAGTGACATTTCTCAGTGAAACAATTTACCCAGAGAAACTGTTGTCTGAAGTCAATGGAAATTATACATCAATTCAAATTTGCTAATAGGCCTCCCCCATCTCCTCCCCCAGATATGTGAGGAGAAGGCAAAAGAGAATATGTTGATATTTTAAAACAGCCTTTTAGAAAATGAATGTACCTTCATGTTATTTTTTTTTAAACTGTGATTAGAAAAACAGCTCATCCAAGATGTTCCACTTCAGAGTTTTTGTAACAGTGAAAAGCCTGACATTTTTCTTGTTCACAGACAAGTGAAACATCTTCCTCCTCCTTCTCATATTCCAACCTACAAGATCAGACTGACAGACCCAGCTCTGAGTGGAGGGTGTGCACTCAGTGACTGGACTAAATGCTGCACATCACTTCACCACGGGATGTGCAAAATGACAGACACAGGGACAAAGTCACAAGAAAAAAAAATAAACAGCCAAGACCAATAGACCCCAAAATAAGGCACCATTGTAACCCAGCTGGTGAACAAAAAAATTAACCAGTATCCACATAATAGATCCCATTACCTTGAAAGATCCAGAAACTTCAGCTCAGGGACTGATGCAAAATAATTTGACCCCAGTGATTTCAGATTGCTGAAACTGAGGTCCAGGTTCTGGGTGGTGTTTGGGACTCCATCAGGAACTCCAGAGATGTTCAGTCCAGTGCATCTGAAAGTTGTGTTAGGGGTGATCTGTAACAGAGGCAGATCCCATCATGGTCAACCTCTGCTCTTCATGAAGTGCCAGAAAATGTCACTGTCACATGCAGGAGCAGAATGACCCCCCTGCAGCTCATTTCTAAAGGAGCTGCCCTGGGTTTTAGGAAATAATCTTACATACCCTAAACGTTTTTCTCACTCCTATTAGAACCAGTCCTACTCCCCAGGAAGAGCTGCATTTCTTGCTGATTGAAGCTGGGACAAAACTACAGGACAGCATTCCTTGAGGTTACAGATGAACCAGCAGCAACCTTTGAGAGAGCCAGCAGAACAAACTCTCATGGATGCACTGCATGTCCAGGAACAGCTCCCAGCTCTCTGCCCCTGCACATAGCCGGGCAGCTCGAACCAAAGTTATTCTGCAAGCAAATAATTGTCAGCAAAACTTTGCAAAAGGCAGTTGGTCCGTGTCTGGTACTTGGTGAAATCACTCTACTGCACAAACCGGGGAAAAATCTGTGTTTTGTAAAAATTAGACAAAGTTTGGATCCCTTCCAAGGGAAATGTAATCTATTACAATAACTGCACTGCAGCACCTTCAGAGGTACAAAAAGCCAACGAGAAGAAAAAGTTCTTGCTGCTGGTTCTGTTCTCAGATGTTTTCAAGACTAGAATTTACTTCAAATACTTCAATCACCTTGATAACAACCTTGGGAAAAAAAGCTGGGCTTTCCTAAGAGGCTTGAGACACAAATCTCCGAAGCAAAGGGAGAGAAACAGAAGGATTTTGTGCTCACTCAGAGCTCACATACCTCCAAACAGGGATCCAGGAGGCAGCCTGCCAGTGGGGATGGGACAAATGCCAGCTGCAGCAGCATCAGGAGTGTCCCCACAGCAAGGACTCCTCTCCTGGGCATCTTCAGGAGTGCAGGAGTGCAGGAGAAAGGAGCATGGATAGAGAAACCTGGAGACAGAAACCTCTTGCAGTGCCAGGAGTTGTGTTTCACCACTCCTGCTTCTCACTGCACGTCTCTGAGAGCTGCAGAGAACGAGAAGGGAACTGAAACTTGGTCACTGCCTTGTTTCCACACACCCTCTGGGTGAACTGCTCTTCTTGAAATTGTAAAAAAAAAAAAAAAAAAAAAAAAAAAAAAAAAAAAAAAAAAAAACCCAACAAGAAAAAAAGAAGCAATGACAGATATAGTTTGGTCTAGAAATTAAAGAGGAATATGGGTTTCATCAGTGCCACTTGACTCGATTGCCTCTGATTAGCTCAGGTCAAATTGGCAAAAAAAAAAAAAAAAAAAAAACAAACCAACAGAATATTTTGTGTGATTCTGAGCCCAGTTTCATGCTCCACATCCCATAATTCAAATGCACTGGTTAGAGAGGGTGACTCTCTGCCTCTGCACTCCTGCCATGCTCCCAGCTTCACCCTTGCAAGCACTGGAGAAGACTTCAGCTGTGGCAGAGGTTTTCTTAAGCCAGGTAAGCACAGGTTTATCTCTGGCCAAGCTCCTGTGAGCAAACATCCAGGTTTTATCCATCTGGTTGGACCTTTATTGCAATTATTGCAGGAATATGGCCAGGCACAAGGAGATTCACAGGGTAATCAGAGCTGTGGTCACAGAAATTCTACCCCTCCACACCCTTCCTCTGGAAGAAGTTGCTGGGGCAGCAAAAAGGAGAGGCACAAACACCCTGAGCTGGGCTTAAAGCTGCTCCCTACCCTGGTCATGCCTGAATCTCTGTTTTATGCCTGACTACAGAACATCTCAATGCCGAATTCCCAATGCAGACTATTGTTTCAGGGGGAAAAAAAGCTTTTTAAAACCTCACTGTGGGCAATATTAATTTAAGTCAGCTGTGAACCTTCTAATAAAGCTCCCTGCCTTCATTTATTCTGATAAATGGTCGTGCATTCATGTATCTCCTCCTGTCTTCCTGGAGATAACTAAGAAATGTTACTGGGGATCCAGGCATAGGGTTGCTGGGTATTATCAACACCACATAGACAGAGAAATGGCAAAAATTTGAGACAAGAGTGGAATATTGGTCTAGAGGAAGATGGAATAAAGTGTGACAACTCATGAAAGTCTGTGAAAATTGATATTAAACATAAGATGCGCTATCAGCCCAGCGAGCAATCCACTTATAAAGGAAAGTTTAAAATATTTCAGAGGTGGGGGTTAGACTTTTTTGACAGGTTAGTAGAAAGCCTAGGAGAGATGGGGAAATCCTAAAATAACTGATGATCTCTGCAATGAAAAACACATGGCAGCACAATGGGAGCTAAAACCGACACCCTGATGTGCAGCCAGATAGTGCCCATTAAGCCAGCAGACAAAAAGTTTGTTGAAATTGGGCAAGTTCTACAAAATCCCTGCTCTGAAAAGCCTCTGGTGATTGCAGGTATTTCCTTTTATAGATGGAATCAAAAGTGAATGGAAACAATTGCTGACTGCTTCTGTGCCTGGATTAAGGAAATTGGCAGAGCATCGTGTGTCTGCAGAGAGAACAAATGAGTGCATCCCTTAGTATTCAATATGCAGAATGAGGCAATCCACATTTAATTTTTATCTAAAGCTGAGATGAGCCTGAAGTATGCTCTAGAAATTACCATTTCAATGGAGACTTACTGAAGATGCTGAAGAGTTTGGGAGCATCACAAAATCCCTCCCACAGCCACGCTGAGAGGTCAAGTGGGAAGTGCAGCTTGAAGGGCGTTCAGAGGAGGCACTGCTGCTGTCACAAGGGACAGTTGCACAGCACACATCGTCATTTGTTCAAGGACAAGTCCTACAGACACTGCAAGGGACAGGGCACTAGCAGAAAGCATGCAAGTTAGCAGATCAAACCCAGCCACCAGTTTAGAAAGTCAGAGCTGGTTAGGTTCATGTTGCTCAGCCGGCACACAGCAACGTGGAAAAAGCCATAACGTCTGTGTGATTGTTCACAAACACCAAAAGAATGATTTGGAATCCCTTAAAGCGACAAGAATAACATCTAAAATCAAACGTGATTCACTACTCTGGCAATTTACTGGTGGGATCATTAAAGATCTCTCAGCAAGGAGGTGTTACAGAGAATCTATGTTTCCAAAAACACATGTATGAGTCATCTTTGTGCTCCTGAACATTATTATAATATAAGTAACACAATGCAGACAGTGCATATGCAGCCTCTCTGATCTCAAGCAAGGTATTACAGAGCATAAGACAGCCATAAATGTAGCTGGACTGACAAAACATCTTACACTTGCTTATTGTAAAAGAAAATTATTTGGAACTCCAGCCAAAAAGCAAAGTTAGCTAAACTCTTGAACAAGACAAGTGGTGAGAGCCATAAAAACAGGATTGTCTGTCCCTAGGATGCTTTCAAGGTCACAGTTAACCCAGTACCACATGTAGGTGAACAGCTCTCACCCTGGAGAGAGGCTCTGTTTGCTTCAGGAGTCATCTCAAGCAGTTCCCCAAGTCTGTCTGCAAACAGAGGCTGAGGAACATGACACAAATTATTTCAAGATTAAACAAAACCAGGTCTTATTTTATATGAAAGAACCATCTCTAACAATTATTTGGTTATGAGCTATGGATCAGAGGGAAGAGATTGATGGATCAGAGGGGGGAGCATTGCTGAGGTGCTGGCACTCTCACAGCACAGGACTGTGGAGCTTGGGCAGCACCACAAAGAGGTTCCAGAAGTCCTTGGGAAGCTCAGGACGCACCAGGTGAGCCAGCATTGCTCTCAGGTGGGCTGGCCACATGTCCCTTCCTAACTATCACAGGCTCAGCCTTGCAGTCAGCTGTGGTGAATTGGGCTGGAATCAGCCACTCTGCAGGAGGGATCCAAGGGGTGCAGGCAGTCACCAGTCCCTGGGCTTCACCTGACAGTCCTCATACTCAGCAAGTCAGTCACCTGTCCAGGTCTGAAAGGTTGTCTGAGTGGAAAAGAAGAGTGACAGGAAATGTGGCACAAATTTAACAGCAAGTTGAATTTTCCCAGCCATTCTGCTGGGAAAAACAATTTATACAAATTGCAATGAAAAATGACGGAACGAATAATCTGAAAACATCTTTAAGATCTTTTTGTTGCACATTCCACAAGTACATTGCTTCCTGAACCTGGGGAGTCACTGCCTTGCACAGTAACCCCTGCCTGACCTGGCAGGCACAGGGAGAGGCAGAGCTGGAGCACACAGAGCCTGCACCAAGGCTGGGGAGGGAGCTGAGACACTGATTTCATCAGAACAGGTCCTAGGGAGCCTGCATGCCTCTTAACTCTCACTTGTGATGCTTCCCCATGTGAAGTTGATGCCTAAAGAGGCTGACCTGGAACAGAGGTTAGAAGAATCCTGGGCAAGGTATTTTTCCAGAAAATATGACGGTGACAGAATCACACAGTCTGTTCGTGCTGCACAGCCCAGCCCACTGCCAATGGTGGCACCTAGCAGAGATCAGCATGGCTGAGGTGTTTCCCATCACAGAGAAGGACTGAGACTGGTGTACACAGGGGGCAGAAAAACAACCCAAAAGGCAGAGTCCAAGTTGGTTTGATGAAAATCAGCCAAGCCTGCCCTGGAGTAGGTAATGTGTGCCATCAGATGGGCTGTTCCCCAAAGCCAAGATCAAATGAACGCCCCAGAACTATTCCAAAGCTATTAGGGAAGAACTGTGTCAAGTAACCAGGGACAAATACACTACTAGGAGAAGTGATTAATCAGTGTCAAGATAGTCACTATCTGTGGCAGCTACTCCATATGGATTATGTCAGGTCATTAGGAGCCCAACATTTTACTGTTTAATCTAAATGGCTGGAAGGATTTCACACAGATGGTGGAGGCATCCAGCCTCGCCTGCCAAGCATTCATGGGCAGGCAGTGAGTGACAGTGGAGCTCCCTGGACCCCTGGAGAGAGGCAGGCTGGCACCAAACAGCCCAGCAGCACCTTGTCCTTCTGCCTGGGATGAGCCACGGTCACCCCTGGGCTGGCCAGAGCCAGGCACTCACTGATCCATGGAGGTGAGGGTGTCCCCAGTGCCTTGGCATGGAACATTGTGCTTAGAGGGAGTTTAAATTCCTCCCACAGCCCTGAGAAAGGTGAATTGGCCACCTCAGACTGGTGCTGGCTTTTCTACTGAAGCAACAATAGGACTTATTTTCTTTTTCTTTCCGCCTCCATTACATCCTTGTTATGGTGTCTCATAGCCTGATTTACATATGTTTTGTATTTCTGTGGCTTTGACTTTTCCTGCTTATTCTACCTCCTCTCCCCCACTTCTCTTAATGAGTCTGCTGTAGAGCAAGGATTTATTCAGATATCAAACATGAAGGGTGTGCAGGGCATGGAGCACTGCAGAGCTCAGACTTTTTAAACTGGACACAAGAAAGGTTGATCTGGGGATTCAGTGCCACAACCGAAGCATGGTTAAATATCAAGCCCCTACAGCACTGCTGTGACACTCTGGGAAAGCTTGGAACAAGGGGCAGCTCTAATGATGATCTGGAGAGATTACAGATCCCTGCTTTGAGGGAAAACCCTAACATAAGAGCAAAAAGCTGTGCAGCATTCCTGCTTTCTGTGAATACTGAGAGCACTGCCACGGGCACTGACCGTGCCAAGGCTCCTGAGCCTCGTGTTTGTGGTTTCACTGCCATGACTTGACACTAGATGACAGGAAAATGTTGCAATGGCTGCAGCAGAAAGTGCAGACCCAGCTCCTGCAAGCAAAGTTCAAGAACTCTCACATCACCCAGAGGGAGAAGGCAAACCCTCCCTGGGGTGAGTTCATGGCACGCTTTTGACATCAGCTCCCAGACATGAGCACTTTTATGGCATTTGCCAGGAGAAGAACACGGAATATTAATTGGCTGCACTGCTGAGAGCCCATTTCCATTGCTTGCAAAGCAATAAATTCCAAAAGAGTGGGTGAGGCGGATGCAGGTTTGCCTGCACTTGGAGGGCTGTATATTGGAATCTACAAAACCTGGGTGGCTATTCTGTGCTTTT